CCAGTTCCGCGGCCGATTATGGGCGTTCGTATTAAAGTAGGATGGTGCATGAGATTTAGGTTCCCTAATTCCGCTATCAACACGCAATTACTTTGAAGAAGTATTTTTTATCAGCAAAATTTCAAAAGTTTTTTAAAACGCCAACATAATGGGACGATGCAAAAGATTCAGTTTTAATGTGAAATTCTCCGTAATTCCTTCAATTCCAAAATCAGTGTGCATGAAAAAAGTGGCGTTTTACTAGTGACCAGGAATGGAAGAGAGCGGGCCTTTTACACAAATACCGCATGCTACCGTAACCTTGAGCACTGTGAAATACGTAGGTGATATATTTTATGCACACACACATTTTTACTAAGCAATAAAACGTCCACTAGATATCTATTGATTTTGACTGTATTATACACATCAAATTTTCTTGGAGCAGAATGGATTACGGTAGCATACTGTATCAAAAGGGTCTTATATTGAGATTCAAGACGTCCAGATCTACTTAGGCAACTAATCTTGACACACATTCAACCCTCTCATGTGATGCATCTGTAACCGAAACTAAGTTCTAAGCTCTTTCCACTACCGCACTCAAGAGCGCTAATCAACGCATCCTGAAAGAGTACGGTAGTGGGCGAGAAAACGGAGGTGAACTGCTCGACCATGAAAAAATTGTAGATGGTACCGTTTGAACTATATGCTTAGGTAAGGCTTTTCGAACATTTCACGTGGGAAACCCAGATACTCAAAATTTGTCCGAACGTTTCTCTTAGAGAAGATTTCCAAACTTGATCAAGAGGTTTGCCCTTTTACACTCAAAAAACTACATCTCTAAGAATGCAGAAAACGTCTGCTTACCACTTTTTCTATTGTCAGACAATCGTGGTCTATCATCCAAATGAGATGTGTACATAGTGGGATATACTAAAGAAAAACGATTCATGCGCTTCGTTCCTTCAGAGAATCAGAGGTAACTTCGAAAGGGTAAATTTTACCTGGCAACATGGGAGGTGTCTTTCGTCTACCTACTGGAGATCTATATGACATCGACTCGATTCGTGAAGGTAATGGTGGTGAGATTTCTCCCTCCTCTTCCACAGCAACAAATGATGATCTTCCATAGTATGAGGTCTCAAATGTACAAAATTATAAATCAATAATATGTACTTTTTAAAGAACTCTATAGAGTTATGACCGCATGATTGAAATAGAAAAAGTAACATAAAATTCAAAAAATGGAAAATTCTTGTTTTGAGGTTTTAAATGATTGTTGACAACTACTATCTCCAGAAAAGCAAAAATGATAGTTCGGTAACATACCCGGGCCAAATCGTTCAATCTTCCTTCATCTTTCATCCTTCCATCATCTTTCCTCACAACAACAGCAGGGAGTTTTTGGTATTCGTTTTCAGCTGAGGGTGTCGCTTCCCAGTCCGGGTTCAAGAACTCGTCCAAACGATGTTCCTGGGAAATGAATCTTTCGTTTATGGGTTGGGAAAAGAAGGAAAAAGTCATTTCCAAACCTTTGGCAAAGAGAGCGGATGAGAACCATGAGTCGTTTCCATATCAGCGCGCTAAAGAGCAACATAATTTAATTGAGATTTATACCAATATATAAAAAAATTATTTTCTTAGACTATAAACATCATTTACCGCTCCGTCTTAGAATTTTTCGGGCCAGCTGAGAGAGGCTTTTTATATAGAAAATGTCGAATTCACGTGTCAAATTTTCTCTTGCAGGTCCTATTGCTAGTTCGTGACAGGACCTGCTTATCACCTCCCTCCCTCCCTGTCTCCTTGGCACAGTAGTAGTGCACATACAACTTACAGATCTCAATTTGGAGTTACAGAAATTGGGTGCGGTATGAGGGTTGATTTTTGTTCTGAGCGCTCAGAAAGGCGTTCCGCCTGCAGCCTCGAAAGGAAACAGGTCTTGACACGATGGAGGAGGTGGCGCAAATGTGGGCGGGGCTTAAAGTTCCTCCTATATTTTTT